CCCTAAACTCTGAACCCCTAAACCTAATGTAAGGGCCCTCAGGATGAGAATAGGGATTTGGGGTATACTAGACTACAACTATAGTAAGGAACCCCCCTCCACAATAGCAAAGGTATTTATTAAGGTTTAGGGTTTAGGGTTTAGGGTTTAGGGTTTAGGGTTTAGGGATTAAGGCCCCTATATTACACTCAAAAGCTCCTAAACCCGAAGCCCCTACACCCTAAACCCTAAAAAACCGAACCTCCTGCCTCAGAAGCCGGGCCAGGGTTGCTGCCTTCACCGCCAGGACCTCCGGTGTATCCTGCCGTCGCCGGTTTAGGGGTTCAGGGGTTTAGGGTTTAGGGGTTAAGGGGGTTGAGGGGTTTGGGGTTTCAGGGTTTAGAGGTTTTAGGGTTTAGGGGTTTAGGGGTTTGGGGTTTAGGGGTTGAGGGGTTTAGGGTTTCAGGGTTTAGAGGTTTTAGGGTTTAGGGGTTTAGCGGTTTAGGGGTTTAGGGTTTATAATAGGGCCTATCTTCCAAGTTTATGGCTCAAACTCGACCAAAGTTCGGCATCCATTGCCCATAGGGCTTAAGGGTTTCGGGCTTAGGGTCCAGAGCCTCTTAAAGACTCAGGTGGCTTATAAACGAGGTTCCTATACTTAGAATTAAGTATAACCCCAGTTAAGGTGCTTAATAACCTTCGTTACTAAGTGCCACGAACATCCAACTATCTGAGTGCTGAGAAGGGTAGGCTATCTCAGGTTAAGTTCAAAATTCTGAACGTTGAGGATGTCGTGCTCACGGTGTCAAGCTTCTGGGCATTAACTTCCCAGTCCTAGACTTCAAGCGGTGTTCGATGAAGCCGTCTGCGGCGGCACAAAAACCGATGCAGAGCACTTGGTGTATTGAACGGCGTTTAAGATTTTGGGGTGCAGCGTTAGAGCCTGTAGCGAGGGGCTAGTGGTGTTGCAACCAGCAGTCCTGGATCCAAAAACGATTACTCTCGTGTTTGCCAAGTCCGAAACCCAAAGCCCTAAACCCTAAACCCAACCTACCAGGAAAGCTCTGAACTCTGAACCCTACCCTTCACCGTCAGGCCAGCCTCCAGCCCCCTTTTGACCTTTGGCTCTTCTGGCTTATTCAGTTAAGTTAGCCTAGTACCTCTTAAAACGCCTGTCCAAATCCATCCAAATCCCTTTTCTTGCTAACCTTACTGGGTAAGTTCAAACAGAACCAATGTAAGCAATGTAAGTGCCAAATCCTTTTAAATCCTTCTGGTTGAAGCCCCAGACTCTTTCAACCCCAACCCTAAACCCTAAACCCTCTTCTACCTTAACCTACCATAACCCCTTTCTTGTAGGTTTATAAACCCTACTATCGGATTTATAGGGACCCTACCAAAAAAGTAGATTCTGGTAGGTTAAGGTAGACCCTAGACCCGCAGCCCTGAACCATCAACCCTAAACGCTGAGCCTGGCCCAGGACAAGGAACTTTGGAACCCGACTAGGGTTTAGGGTTTAGGGTTTAGGGTTTAGGGTTTAGGGGCCACCGCACCTCCCACTCATCAGCCGAACAGCTGCTGAATCCGGGCCGCGCCTGGGGGGGGGGTTAGGGGTTAGGGGTTTATGAGGGGGCTGCAGGATTTAGGGGAGGCTACGAGGATACGTGATACCTGGAGCCGAAAAAATTCGCGATCATGGAACCCAAACAGGTTTGTGGCTGGGTATTTGGAGATGTGGTTGAAACTGAGATAGGCATGAATTCGGTGACGATGCGGCTCATCATGGTCATCATCGCCACATTGGCAGGAAAAACTATCTTCATGATAGTTGTCGATTCCATTTGCCAGTTTCTGCACGATCGTTTGTTTCGTAACTGTCTCGATTGCCTTGGCAGCCGGCTTCCGAAACCTCATCAATAACAACGGCATCTTAAAACCCAAACCCAAACTGCATGCAGAATAAGAACCAGCATCACGATCAATAATGATGTCTGAACCAGGCTCTGGCAACCTTAAACCCTAAACTGCTTTAAAATTAATTACCTTACTATTTTGGGGGTTCCTTATTCTAATTATAGTATAATATAACAGACAAGCTGCCCTAAACCCAGTCAGATCCCCTGTCCCTTCCGGCTCTGAGAGCTCACGAAGTGGACCCCGCCGGATCCCGAAGCTATTGGTCAGCCAGCTGCAGGCTTCCATCACTTAAGAGTACAATTTGTAGATGCTTAAGATGTGGGCACTTAGGGTTTAGGGCGTGAATTGAGGCTTAGGATGGCGGTTCCGATTGCTGTTGCATCGGTCGCATGTGGTGTACGTGGTGGAAAGCTCCACACACGATCCGCAGCCACAGCCAGTGACCTAAGCCTTGGCTGGCAAATCTTGCGGGGGACTTACTGGCTGCATGTAAGGATCCTCCGACTGTGGCAAAAGCTTCGAGAACTCCTCTAGCTCTGAGCCATCACCTGCTGGGCGGTCAAGGTAACCCGCAAGGTAACTTTGCAGAGCCGCTTGCACATCGCAGTCATCATGGCGGTGTGGGAGTCAGCATGTGCAAACGAGGTTCTGTGCCGTGCTGAAGTCACGGATGTCCCAAAGCTGCGCCAAAACTCTGCGAAAGCATTTCCATCTGAGCTGCTGTGTTCATAAGACCCAAAACCCTAAACCGTAAACGATTGAGACCATGACCCCGAACCTGCAGCACAAACCCTGAACCACGAATCCTGCAAACGCCCAAACCCTAAACCCCTCAGACCCTCAGCCGATACCCCCTCCGAAAAGATCCAGAGCCTTGAAACTTAAATACACAGAATCCCAAACTCTAAACCCCGGGACCGTAAACCCTAAAACTTCACCTCTGTTCTGTGATCTCTGCACCCTAAACCTTAAGCCCCTAAACCCTAAACCCTAAACTCTAAACCCTGAAGCTTAAACACTAAACCTTCAACCCCAAGCCTTCAACCCTGGAGCGCCTCTGAGTCGGCTTCGGCCACCAAGCGGGGAGCAGCCCAGTTCTAGCACAAGTTGGGCTGATCTTGCGAAGGCGGGGTTTGGGAACCCTAAACCCCAAACCTTCAACCTGCGAATCAAGCGTGTCAGGCTTCAGGTTTTAGAGCTTGAGGTTCAGAGTTGAGGACGGTTTTGGGCTTCTGGAGCTTGGTGCCTAGATACGGTTGACGATATAAAACCTGCAGTACCCAAAATAAGAAAATATACCATAATTCCCATAGTTTAGGGCCCTTAAGGTAATGCAGGATTTATATCATCAACAGTATTTATTTTATGCGAGTGAACCATGAAGTTTTGGTGGCGGCTTGCCGAATGCATCCGAAGTTTCTCCGAGACCGCAGAACAGTAGTGCCAAGCCCCATAACCTAGCGCCCTGAATGTTCAGAAAGAAACATGCAAACCTTGCAGTGTACACATGGTCAAGCCGATCGCAGCCCTGCGCGTGCATTGTCAGAAGCAGTGTTTTCCAGGTTCCTGCAGAGATACGACGTTGAGCTTCAGAGAATCGCTTCTCACCGCTGGGATCGGTCTGCTCATTGAAGCCAGTCGTTTCTTGAACCTCTTTCACGAGCTCCTCAATCTGATAGCTAGCGATGTAACACCATTCCGTCGGATTTTCAGTCTTCCGCTTCAGCTCTTTATCCCTTTTCACTTTAAGCTTCTTGATGGCATTCCGCGCTCCATTGCCAAAGGGTGGTGGACGTGGCGCCTGCACCTGCACACCATGATGCCACTCGGCCTCTGGAGGAAAAAAGTCGATACTGGGTCCTTCAGGGGGATGCACTGTAAACGCCTTCCTTACAGCAACACGCAGGCCTGCTGCCACCAAGTATTCCCTGAGCTGCTCGCATTCACCACAGCTCATTGGCGACGACGTCTTTATATGATAGTCGAAATCGGAATCTGGAGTGGCTGTGCCCTTTCTGCGAGAACCATTCTTGATGATCTGCGCACTGCCACCGCACACTCTCCGCAGCCCACTCAAGAACGTCTCCAAGCTTGGCCTGTGCACCTTGTTCTGCGGCTTGAGGGCCTGAGCACTATTCGCAAAGCTGTTTGCATGCTTCGTGGCCCGGGCTTTGTTCTGTGCGCATGCTTGCTTCTGGTTCTTGGAGGGGGGGGGATGGCCGCGACTCCTGAAATACTGGGCGTGGTTCGGATTCAACTGATTCGCGTGACAAGCCGTCGAGCTTTGTCGCATCTTGCGATGTGATGAGTTGGGATTCATCTGATTTGCCCGATTTCTGAGGGCTGCAGCATCCAGGCGTTTGGCTTTGGCCCCCACCGAGTGGTTCGGATTCATCTGGTTCGCCCGATTCGTGCGGGCTGCGGCATCCAGCCCTTTTTTGGCTTTGGCCCTCAGAGCCGTGTGGCTGAGCCCCCTGCTATCGAGAGGCCACGATGCTCCCATGACGAAGAGGTGATCTGCTGTTGGTCCAAGGCATAGAGCTGCGCAAGAAAGGATGGCAACCATATTCCTGCAGGCACATCTGCCAGATGGCTTCATCATCCGCCCGCGTCAATTGACAAGTGGAGTAAGTATACACTAGCAGTGCCTGCAAGCTCCAGTCTCGCTGAAAAAGGTAGGTTAGGGTTTTGGGTTTAGGGGTTTAGGGTTTAGGCTTCAGGGGTTACGTGTAAAGGTTGAGGGGAACTCTGCTTCAAAGCGGCTCAGGAAGATCCGGCACTGGACAACTGCTGTAAGATACCAACTCATCAACCCTAATCTTGTCACCCTAAGCACCCTAAACCCCTAAACCCTAAACCCTATAGTATAGACGGAACTCATTCCACAACTGTGCTTGACCATGGCTGCGAAACTCACCACCGCGGAGATGCATGCAGCAATCGAGGCGGGGGGGGGTGGGGGGAGGGGGGGTTCAGTAATGGCATACTGTACTTTTCCGGGGTTTCTCATTAAACGCTGACGGGCGGAATTATTACTAGTCGCTACCCTTTACTCCTGCTTCTGCTTCTAAGATGCGATTTGGGATGCCCGCTGCCAAGACACCATGGCAAAAGACGCTTCCCTCAAAGCACCCTCAGGGTCCATGTACCCAAACAGTATATACTTTGTCCTCAAAGTAGTCTCTATACAGGTACTTTGGGGCCGAAGTATGTATTATATGGGTGTGCATGGACCTTGAAGGGCAGAGACTTCCCCATGGCTAACGAATCGATACCTTGCAGACAAAAAATCTTGGCTAATATGATTTACGGTACATTCCATAAGCAAGGCGTCTTGCAGTCTTCATATGGGTAGTTTTCTAAATTAGGGCCCCCTCTTGGGTCCCAAATAATAGTACGGCACCCTTATAAAAAGGACCCTACAAAGGACCCTAATTTAGAGAACTACCCATATGGTTTACGGTGCAGTCCAGAAGAAAGCGGTTTTGCAGTGTGCAGTCTCCGCGAATATCCACATCCAAGCTCCGATATAGCAACTTCATGTTTGACCACAAATATCTAATGTAGGGGCCTTAGTAATTAGACTAGGGTTTTGGGGGCCCTTTATAGTATAATTATACTAACGAACCCCCAAAATAGTGTAATTAACAAATCTCCTGTATTAGGGATTGAGCTTCCGGTTTGAGGTAGCTGCATTGAAATCTGCCGTTTGCAGCCTTGGTGCGTATTTATTTATACGATAGTCTACTCTAATCTACATGGTCGACACTGGTATATACTACCAAGAGACTGCAAGATACTGTAACATACTAATAGCATCTGATAGCGTTGTGGGGTCAGCCCTAAACCCTAAACCCTAAACCCTAAACCCTAAACCCTAAACCCTAGGAAGTCGCAGGCATCCTCGCTTGTAGAGGAGTGTGAAATCAAGTGGCGAGCGATTGAGCCCAAGCCGAACATCTAAGCTTTCAGGAGACCCTGCGCCCTTTCTATAGGGGCCGTAGTAATTAGAACACGGTTTTGGTGGTATTTTATACGATAGTTATACAAAAAGGAATCCCAGAATAGTATTGGCAAGGTTTAGGGTTTTATGCTTCTGAGCTCAGGGTCGTAGGGTTCCTGAGCTTAAAACCCAAACTCTTACACATCTTCATCGCTTGAGCCGGTCGCGTCTGCATATGTACATATGTATATATATATATATACATATCTATATATAGAAATATATGCATATTACGCTGCATCTGCTGCTGCCCCCAACCATACAACCCCAAGTCTTCGGCCAAGTTGTGCAAAACCACGAGCCCATCCTCAAGCCTCAAACTCTGAACCCTATTACTAAACCCTAAAGCCCCAAGCTCTGAACCCAAACCCTAAAACCCCAAACTCTGAACCCTAAACCCTAAGTTCTGAACCCTAGACCCTAAACCCTAAACTCTCAAGCCCCAAACTCTGAACCTTAAACCCTAAACTCTAAACCGTAAACCGTCAACCCTGAACCCCAAACCCATCCCAAAACCCAACCTCTGAACCCACCGCAAGCCTTTCCGCGCCCCAGGCGTCCATGCCAGAAGGGCAAGCCGTGCCAAGAGCCCTCGAAGAACATGGGCTTAGGGCTTAGGGCTTAGGGTTTTTTTTTTAAGTGGGACACGCCTTTGACTGTCGACGCTGCCATGCAGGGTTTAGGGTTTAGGGTTTGAGGGTTTAGGGTTTAGGGGTTTAGGGTTTTGGCGGTTTAGGGGTTTAGGGGTTTTTTAGGGTTTAGGATTTAGGGCTTGAGGGTTCAGGGTTTTAGGGTTTAGGGTTTTAGGGCTTAGGGATTTAGGTTTTAGGGTTTAGGGTTTGAGGGTTTATGGTTTAGGGTTTTAGGGGTTTAGGGGTTTAGGGTTTAGGGCTTGAGGGTTTAGGGTTTTAGGGTTTAGGGTTTTAGGGCTTAGGGATTTAGGTTTGAGGGTTTAGGGTTTAGGGTTTAGGGCTTTAGGGTTTGAGGGTTTAGGGTTTAGTTAGGGATTAGGGTTTAGATTACTCGAAGAAACAGGGGGGCTGGGTAATGTAGGGGCCTTAATAATTAGAGTAGGGTTTAAGGTTTAGGATTTAGGGTTCCTCCTTGTAATTATAGCATACTATACCCGAATATGGGCAATGCAGGATTTAGTCCATTTGGGGCTGAGGGCCTAGGGTTAGGTCAGTGTAAAGTAAAGGTATTGCAAAGGTTACTACAAGGGTCCTGCAGGGTATAGCGGTTGCTTTGAGCGTCCTTCGAATGGTATTACGGGTGTCATGGGTTGGGGCAGGGTTCGATTGTTCCGGGTTTAGAATTCAGGTCTGTTGCGGCGGCTTCGACGTAAGGCCTCTGGTTGAGTTTAGGACATGATGCAGAACAGTGAAGCCCCAAAGGTAGTCAGGAGACCACGTAAATCAAGTAGATGCTTCAAGGGCTTTATTGCAATCTGCGTTCATTGTAACTTCTTGTTACATATGCTTATTCCTATTATTGTTGTTCTTCCAGCGAGAAGTCTTCATGATTGTCATTATGAAACTAGTCGCTGCTAGTCCCGCAACTTCCTACCGGGATTATTGGGCGTTGTGGCCACATCATCAAGCGACGACCTAAAAAACCTCATCAGCGCGAAAGGCGGATCACCCATTCAAGAACTTAGCTTAAGTTGCCATATGTTGCCACAACAGGTAGCAACAGTAGATAATACGGTGTCCGTATTGTGGTCACAAGGGTACAGGGTTGTGTAGGGGTTAGCGATTCGGGTTTAGGCTTCCGGTTTGGGCTTACAAGGCGGTGTAAGAGTACAAAAACCGAAACCCCAAACCCTACCGAAACCGACACCCCAAGAGCCCTACACCCAAAATGACGGAAGGCCCTAAGCCTAAAAGCCCTAAACCCCTACATAAAACCTTCAAGCTCTCTATAAGCCCAGCTCTCCGACAGCCCTATGGTGACCTTGCACTGCTCCAAGGTGTCAGTGGAAGATGCTTGTCCAATTTGATGGATCCAAACTGATGATCTTCACCACACATGGGATACACAGAGCCTTGGCCCCACCCAATGCCTTCTGTGCAGAAAAGACAAATCTTCTCTGCAGGAATGTCATACCCAAGGTCCATAATACCAGGAGGCAAGATGTGCTCTTCTCCACCATACTTCTTCTTGGGATGTAAAATTCCAAGTTTCAGAAGTGGGTTGCGGGTTGCAGGCAATGCTGGAATTGGCACTGGCTCCATACAGCTGATGATTGATTCAGCCCTACAAAGCCTACCATGATTTCTGAACTCTCCTCTAAAGCTTCAACCAAGTCCATAGCCCAAATAGTCTGCCTGGTTGTGGCAATGACCCCATTGTGCTGAGGCTTTTGCAACCCTAGGGTTTAGGGTTCAGAAGCTTAGAGTGATTCCCAGAAAGTTGGAATGTGGATTTAGGAGGATTAATGCTGGGATCCCCTAGACTTTACTTCAAGGGCATGAGGATAATGACGTTCCAGCTTTTTGGCTGCTACTGTAGGGAGTTTAAGTCTAGAATCCCTAGGATTTGGTGGGGCTTTCGGCTGCCGATCTTCGTAGTTCGGGTTAAGTTCTTACCTATAGTCTCCATTGTAGTTCCCCTTTTGGGTTTAGGGTTTTTGGCTTAACCAACTTTGTGTTTTCGATCTTATAGTTTAGTCCCACAAAGGAACTACAATGCAGACTGTAGGTAAGCTTCAACCTTCCTAAGTCTGAACAACAACTAGGATCATGTTCGCCGCGCAACTGCAAGCTGCGCGCCTGTCGGGATTTGAAGCTCCTAAACCCTAAACCCCATAGCCTCAGTTGGAACCACGAACGACCCCAAACCCCAATAAACTGCCTAAGCCCTATAGGCCCTAAACTCCCTACATCGTAAACCCTAAGCCCTGAGCCCTAAACCCTAAATCCTAAACCGTCGAGTTGAAGGTTCACCGAGGGGCTGAGTATCTTAGCCCAAAAACAACTAACCTCTGAAGTTATCGTAGGATTATATAAGCCCAAAAAGGTTAGAGGTTACATACCCTAGACCCTAAAAACCCTAAAACCCCTGAACCCGAAAACCCTAAACCCTTAACCCTAAAACCCTAAACCCTGAACCCTAAACCCTCAATCCCTGAACCCTAAAACCCTAAACCCTTAAAGCCCAAACCCTAAAACCCTAAACCCTAGGCCCTAGGCCCTAAACCCTAAAACCCTCGAAGCCTAGACCCCAAAACCCTAAACCCTAGGCCCTAAACCCTAAAACCCTAAACCCTAAAACCCTAAACCCTAAACCCTAAAACCCTAACCCCTAAACCCTACCCAAGTTCAGCCCACAAGTTCAAGAGCCGACGTGTCTGGAGCCTCCTTGGGCTTTCCGGCAGCCGCCGAGATCATGTGAGGCTTGAGGTTTCGGGTTTGGGGCTTAGGGTTTAGGGCCGAGGGCTTTGGGTTTAGGGTTTAGGGCTTAGGGTTTAGGGCTTAGGGCTTAGGGCTTTTAGGTTTTAGGATGCAGGATTTGTTGTGTAAGGTTTAGGGCTTGATTCGGGTTCGGCCTTTGGCTTTTGGAGTTTCGGGCCTTGGGGTTCTGGGGCCCCTTATACTATAGTTTAGGGTTTAGGGTTTAGGGTTTAGGGTTTAGGGTTTAGGGTTTAGGGTACTATAATTATAACAAAGAACCCCCAAAATAGTGTTGGTAATTATTTAGGCCCCTATATTGTATTAGGCTTTAGAGTGTAGTGCCGGGGTGGGGGTAGGATCTTGGAGTTTAGGATTCTTGGCCTCTTGCCGGCTGTTTAGAAGCCTGAGACCCCAAAACGTGTGCCGATTCTAGTGCTTCGGGATTGTGAGTATAGGGTTTGGGGTTTAGGGTTTCGGGTTTAGGGCTTGGGGTAGGGTTTAGGGCTTAGGGTTTGGGCTTTTGGGTTTAAGGCTTAGGGTTTAAGTTTAGGGTTTAGGGCAAAGTTTAGGGTTTTCAAGGCTGCGTGGGATCCTTTTCAGTTTGTTCCTGCCTTAGCATGCAGCCTGGCTCGTCCTAGCCGAAAGTCCATCGGCAGCGCTTTTTGCGTAGACCCTCCGCCCACAGCCAGATTGAATGAGTTCAAAGCAAGACTCCCAGCCCCAAACAGTCAATGTTGCATAGTTGTATCAGAACCCCTAATGTAGAAGCCTAAATAATTACCACTACTTTTCTGGGGGTTCCTTATTCTAGATATACTGTAAAGGAGCCCAAAACCCTATTCTAATTATTGGGGCCCCTATATTACATTCTCGTTGCTTGCGTGGGGAGGTTGGAGAGAGGCAGGGCCAACATTCTCCACCCAGACCTTGCATGCGTCGAAGAATTTAATGTAGAGGCCTAAATAATTGCCAACTTTGTTTCGGGCACTCCTTATTATAATTCTAGTATAATGGGCCCCAAATCCCTATTCCAACTATTAAGGCCCTTATGTTAACCCTACACCTTAAACGGTGGCTCTCACTTAGCTAAAGAGTCCATGTGCTCAAATAGTACATACTTTGGCCCCACGGCACCTATATAGAAGCTACTGTGAGGACAAAGTAGATCTGTTTGGGTGCATGGACCCTTAGGGTTATGAGTTACAGTGCTATTCACTAAGCCTTGTGCCCTGATACTTGAGCATCCTGTAGTAAACTTGAGCACCCCCGCCCGCGCATAACGCATCACGGCGTGACTTTCCAACACAAGCCACCAACACAAGGATTTTGCGGGCAGAACCCTTTGAGCTTACACTTTGTATTGGGGTTGTAAGACATGTGGGTACCTTTTGAGGATGTACTCATTATGGAAGATGTAGAGCATTTGGGGATGATATGTGCGACGACATAACCCTATCCCCCCAGATACCTACCTAGGCCCTATATAGTAGGTACCTGGAGGGGTAGGGTAACTGTAGAGAGTTCAGGATTAGAACGGGTCCAGGCTTGCCTTGGAGAAGTCATAAGTTATGAATGAAGAACCCTAAGGAGAATTACTGAACATTCTATGGTTTTAAGTTATAATGAGGAACCCTAGGGAATAGAATTACTGAACATTCTATAGACCCCTAAGGAATGACATTGCTGAGCATTCCAACTTCCGTAGTAGAGAGCTCACACAGCGCAACAACCCTAAACCCAAAACCCTAAACCCTAAACCCTAAACCCCCAGCCAATGACGGCGCACGCCATGGCATCGGGGTGCTGCGTCTCCAGGCGATCGGCCTCTGCCAGATCGAACATCTCCTGGCAGTCCGAAGGATATAGGGCCCCAAAAAAGCACATAAGCAAAAATTAGGATCCGGATATCCCATATAAATCCCCTTATAGTGAAGCCCAATAAGGTAGGGATATCCCTATAAAAAGCTTATGCTTATGTGCTTTTTGGGTCCCGAAGGATAAGGCCCCTAAGTAGGGTTCGGGGTTCACGGGCTCAGGGTCTAGAGTTTGTTCTTGTGGCTTCGGAAGCATCTTCTTGCTTGGTTCGGTGCAGTTTGTGTAGATTGTGTAGACACCTCTTGTTCTCGGCTTAGGGATATGCTGTTCGGATTGAAGGCTTGGCGCTTGCAGTTTGAGTTTGGGCTCGATGCTGGGAAAGCA